AAACATACAACAACATAGCAAGAGAAACATACAAATAAAATAAAATAATTTATTACCTTCTCCAACTTCTAATAAGAAGTTACTTAACAACGATCATTGAATTTTGTCTCTATGCATTCATTTATTTCTTATTAGAATGAATTATATTTTATTAACCCTCTTTTGTTGTTTTCATACCATAAAAAATTCTATTTAATTTGTAAGACATTAGAACATAATTTTGTATTTAAAACCTCTTGATTTATTTATTTATTTTTTTTTATAAAAATTCACTCATATTTTCTTTCTTGCCGAAAAGATTTTTATCGTCTGTAAGATATTGATTTGTCATTAAAAAAATACTATACAAGATAAAAGCTTACTCATCCTGCAAATTTCAAAAGTTGCATCAAATAAGACCAATGAATGACTATTAATCTCTAATTAAAATTTGCTTCAGAATACTTTGAATAATTTTTTTTCAAAGGAAAAATACGCATTATCATGCATTTCTGAGGACACTAAAACCTGGCGGGTTCTGAAATTTTAGAGGCATCGAACCTAAGCATGAAAAAGAAACGGTCATCAACTATTGCTTTTGTTCTTAGGTCATCATATGACCACAAGCATGAAGGAAAATTAGACCAACCACTCACAGATATAAACTATTAATCAAGGTTCCAAAATCAAATATTAACGAGCTACCAAACATGAAAGTTAAACTAATGAAGGGTATCTCCAACCAAATGTCATTCATCTGTTTGCAATTTCGACGAGCGTCCAACTGAACGACAAATAAAAACACATTCTTTTTCATTTTATCTCGGCTATGAACAATGAGATGTCAATATTGACATCATACTATTCAAAAACTCTTTTTTTTCTTAAGATCGAAGAGATGAAAAAGAATATTCACATAATTTTATTGTTTTGTGTTACTGTTTGATATAATTGTTATTGTACTTTGAAGTGGAAAATAGATTTTTCCATTGGAGATGCCCTAACCACTACAAGAAAATCTGTCATTGCCGACGGCTTTTTCCAACGGAATTGGGCGAATTTTCGATGGTAATGAGGTTTTCCGATGGATTTTTTCCCGCCGGTATAAAAGGAGTAGGAAACCCAAACCAGCAGTTTATTTCCGGTGGCAAATATTTCTGGCAGCCATAGTCGTCAAAAAAAAAAAAAAAAAACGATGCCCGCCAGGCTGCCCGCTGCCTCCTACTGCTTGCACGAGCTGCCCTGGCTGCCTCTTACGTTGCCCGCTGCCCGCACGTGCTGCTCGCTTGCAGTGAGATTCAAAGTGAGCTAGTATGCTTCAAATCCCCAGCCAATTTGCTAGAAGGGCAAAAGTAATAAAAGTGTAACATTTTTTTATTTAAAATGTAATAAGGATAAGCCATTAGAAATGTTGTTGGACAACTGCCAAAAAAAAAAAACCGGTCATATTTCATCGTAAACCACCAAAAAAATAGACCGCTGGCCGAAAAAATTCGTTAGTAATATACGATTTTCCTATAGCGAACAGAGTGCCAGCCTAAATAATGTATATATTTCTCTCTTTGTTTCTTTCTTTAATCTTTACTATACAGTACTTAATTAGAAGTTTGATACTCCACAGTCAGCACAAGCATAAAATAAGCATCAAGCATTTGTACATTAGCGTTGCCATAAATTCATGATAAATAGCCATACATGTTGTCAAAGTCTTTATGATTATTAAAGAGCTTTAGCTTCAACGTTAAGTTTCTTAAACTTCAACGTTAATATATATATTGTATCGGAAGGTGATGAATGAGTAGTTTAACTTCTTCGCATATTCATTTAAGTGCAAAGTGCTATCTGACAAAAAAATGCAGGAATCAAATTTCCAATTGCCCATCAAACTAATATAAATTGGCATATTCCACGTGTTGACGTTTGTCATTTCTAATGAAAGTCAAAAACATTGACATTATTTAATGACAATGACTTTAAAAAATGACAAGATAATGAACAGTGCCGTATGTCGGCTGTTCCTAGCTAACGTTGTTTCTCGTAAAATATAGGGGGAAATGCAAATTGCCTGAACCAAAATATTCAATTCGAAAGGCTTCGTTTGGGAAGCCTTTCTCACGAAAAATTATTGCGTCCTCCCATCTGACATAGAGCTACGTCCTCTCAAAGTTAAAATCGCGTTAAAAAACAAGAAATACCGAGCAATATCAAACAATAACGAGGAATATCATCATGTGAAGACCAATATCGAGTTATACCGAGCTATACCGAGCAATACCGAGCAATACAAAAAAATACCTAGTTTTTCCTAGAAAAAACTCGTTATTTTTTTGTATTGCTCGGTATTACTCGGTATTGCTCGGTATAACTCGGTATTGGTCTTCACATGATGATATTCCTCGTTATTATCAAATAATACCTAGCAATACCGAGCAAAAACTGAGTTTTTTGGCGGTGGAAGGACGTAGCTCTGACATATATATATATATATATTTTTTTTCATATGCACATTAATTTTTAAGCAGATTTAATAATATTCAAATCCATTCTGACCTAAAATATGGCAGGATACTCTATCATAATTATTTTTTCACTGTATATTTAACCATGTTAGTAGTAGATTTATTAAAATAAAGAAGATAAAATAAATTATTTTACTTAAAAAGGGTAAGAGGAAAATAACAAAAGATTTAATTATAGTATTCTTAGCAGTAATAAAGGAAACACGTCATTTTCCAGTGGCCATTTTCGCCAGAAAATGAAAAAATGCTTCGATAATTTATTTTTATGGTGGATTTTCGATGAAAAATAATTAAAATCCGCTTGTAATTTATGTTTTCGCCAGAAAATGACTAAAATTCAACTTAAAATCAACTGAAAAAACTATCGGAAATATTCCGTCGAAAATCCTCTGGAATTTCTAACATATTTATTTCCACCGAAAATTCCATCATCAGAAATCAACATTTTTCCTGTAGTGTTGGTTTCCATATGTGACTGGAGCTTATTATTGTAATAATGGACTCATAAATACAACATAAATTGATGGGTGTTTTTATATAGTGTGATAGGTAAAGGCATTAACTTCTATGTCATTCTCAACTTACTCGATATGATTTGATTTATCGCTTAATAGACTTCTTTATTGAATTGATTGTATTGATTTCAATTGACCTGACGATTTCATTGTATGGATTTGATTTCGATTGCTCTGTCGATATGTTGATTTGATCATTCTATGGATTCCCTGCTGATTGATATAATGGACTGAAAAGTGCTCTATTGATTGAGATGATTCATCTTACGTCGTCATTATGAAATTGTTCTTACTGATGTATTGACATTGAATATTGTATATTGACATCGAGTAAATTGTATTGAATAATTGACTGACTGATTTGTAAGAGTACGTTCTGATACGAGTCTTTATTGAATTGATTTGATGCTATGGATTGATATTGACTGAAATAGATATTCAATTGATTGGATGGATATTATAGATACAATGGAATGACTAGACGACACGACTGATTGAACTGATAGTATTGATTGATAGACACTGCTACGATGGATAGATATTGACTGAAAGCACTTACTGATTTGATCGCTGTGACGTATTGATTTATTGATCCTTTTGCCGTCGTATTGACTATTGATTATTGATTGATTCGATTTGATTTGATTTCTGTATCTACATAGATTCATTGATCATAGTCTTTTGACTTGATTTGATTTGATTTGATTGACCTGCATATTGTTTCAATGTCGTGCTTTGATTTCAGTTGTAGGCTTTGGTGACCTGCTGAGCTAGTAAGCTCATTATATGTGGTTAACAATTTCAGGTCCGAGCAAGGGAGTAGGAATGGAGATTAATCGAGACTGTCAGACGAATCTTTTCACTATGGATGCCTGGGGCGTCACAATATGTCCATTTATATGGCTTGTGTTATAGTGCTATATTGCATATGTTGTTAATTTGTGGTATGTGACATATCCATCTCATCTTTTCAAGTGTACTACTACTTTGATGCTATATGGAGTTCATTTGACTACGTTTATGATGTCAAGTTTGCATGAGCTTCATTAACTAATACACATACAGCGAAAAAAGGGAAGTTGAGGGTTATAGCTATTAGAAGGATGAAATGGGTGCTCAAATCATGCTGAATATATTAGTGGATGATTACCTGTCAATTTAACTTGTTAAGTTATATGGTAAGGATTGCCATAAGTATGATAGAAACTCTACTATTAGTTTATATATAATATGTAGCATAGCATGTACAAAGTGCACCACAAATACATGATGACAAAAGGGTCTAGCTATCATCGATAAATAAAAAAAGTTGCAGTTGAATATAGATGACTCATCACTATGAGCAAACTGAATATTCTAACATAAGAAAATTCTTTAGTCGTTTTTACTTGATTGATATGAGGACGTTATGTATGTGCAAACTTTATACGGCATTGTTGCAATAATTGTGTGGAACATGGTTGTTTGTACATGTTGTGAAGTTTTATATGTTAAAGTGATATTTGGATGCAAGCGACTAACCTACAGTGGAATGGCCAGCTAGGCAAAATGCGAGTTGTTATGGGGTGGTTATATAAGCATGTCTATAGCCCTAGTGGTTACACTAGTAGTTATGGGATGTTTTTATATATCTTCCTCAAAATTTTTACAAGTCTAGCCTCTCCCTATATTGCTCCATTATATTTCTAGATTTGAATCAACCATATCTGAACAATTTTGATGGTCTTATCATTATCTATAAGAACATTTCAACTATTGGACTTTTTATAAGTAAACCAATCTCTATGAGATGTCATGTGATATGAAGACTAAGAATCAAGGAATCTTTAGCTCAGGAAATAAAATAATTCAAAGCTATCAAAACTAAGGTTTCGTTTGAGACAATTTTTTTACCGTTTTCTAAAGCAATTTTTTAGTACAAAATATTCAAGTTACAAAAATTTTTATACTAGAAAACTAATTTAAAAAATAAGAAAAAATCCGTCTCAAATAAAAACTAAAACAAACATATCCTGCGTGTCATCTTTGTGCAGGGGCCATACTAATCTTTTGTGTATCGTTCCAATTTTATCGGATGTCTCCGAAGAGACTAAGGCTTCATTTGGTACGACTTTCTTATTGCTTTTTAATGCAGCTTTTTAGTACAAAAAATTAATATTTTTTGCTAGAAAGTTGTTTTAAGAAGCAGTAAGAAAATCGTCCCAAGCAAAGCTTAAATCAATCCATTCCATTCGCTTTACAAATGTTGATGATTCCAAGCTAAAATTACCTATATTTTTACTTTTTTCCCCTAAAACATTTCTATATAACCTACATTATGGTTTATAATGTCCAAGTTTCTTATAATTGTGACACCATCCATTTTTAATTCGAGCTTGTTCTCTTTTTCTTCATCTCCTTTGTGATATTTCTTTTTAATTTTCACATTTAAAAGCACGTGTAAGGTAGCAACTTAAATTCCCAGCTAAGGTCTGATTCATTTTTCCATTGAAATCGGTTTGAATTCTGACACCTACCGTGTTGCAATAGTGCGTTGTCCCCTGCTGGATTTTACATCTGCCACGTGTCCCAATGCTCGTGCTAAAGCCCCTTTGTTTATTAGCCCATACGTGGCCCAATCATACATTTAGTGGGCCCTTGTAACGGGGCTCATCTGTTTCTTTCCCTTTCCGTTAAAGCCCATTTATAAATACTGGACCCCTTGTCGTTCGGTTAATCTAACCTCTCTCTCACTCCCATCACCGAGAAGTAGTAGCAGAGCAACAAAGCAACTACTGTCTCTGTCCTGTTTCTTCCCCTTTTCTGTTTTCTTTTTCATGACCAGGCAAGGCTTGTTGGCGCCTCAGGAGATACTTAGTCCAATCTCAGCTTCTCCGGCGACCGTGACGGCAACAGTGATGGGGCTTCCTCCTCGAAGCGCCGCCTCTACGGCCAAGTATAAGAAGCTCATGACACATCTTGAACTCCATGGAATTGGAAGCCAGAACTTTGCAAGTTTCGAGTCTATGAAAGCTTCCTCTCCAACACATTTAAGATCTGTTCCCTTACTATCCACCTCACACTCTGAAAGCGACGACAGCGATTGGAACGTGAGTGCCAGTCCATCTTATATTTGTTTTCGTTACTTTTTGATCTTGTTTAAGAGTTAAAGTTCTCAACTTTGAGAGGTTTTGGAACAGAGAAGGCTCCCATCAGTGTTGAGCAAGTTTGAGGAAATAACGGAAGCGGCGAAGGGAAAGAAGATAGTGATGTTTCTTGATTATGACGGTACTCTGTCTCCAATCGTAGATGATCCGGACTCTGCTTTCATGTCTGAGGCGGTCAGTATCTTAGAGTCTTTCTCTGTTTTTTACTCTTTTTCCGAAGCTCAGATTTTGGTTTTCTTTTGTTGTAGATGAGAGCAGCAGTGAAGAGCGTGGCGAAGTATTTCCCAACTGCTATAGTGAGCGGAAGATGCAGAGATAAGGTACATTTTGGCATAAAAATTGTTTCTTTTAAAGCTCTTGGGCTGCTTCGTCTTCTTCTATGTTTAATTTCTGTTGAGAACGAATGTTTGATGGTGATCAGGTGTTCAACTTTGTTCAATTGTCGGAGCTTTACTACGCAGGCAGTCATGGCTTGGATATCAAAGGTCCCACCAAATGGCCCAAGCACATAAAAGCTAAGGTGACTGGTTTTTTAAGCTTTGTGAAACCAAAATGTGCTAAATCTATTATCTTCTAATTCTTTTCGTTTCTCGAGCAGGCAAAGTCAGTGCTCTGCCAGCCAGCCAGTTCATTTCTACCCATGATTAATGAGGTTAGTAGCTTCTTTAAAGCTGAGAGCTAAGCTCTTCAGGTTAAAATATCTCGCCAAGTACTAAGCTTTTACTGTATTTGTTCTATATCAAAAGGTATACAATTTACTTTTGGAGAAAACCAAAGGGATTCCTGGCTCCAAGGTGGAGAACAACAGATTCTGTGTATCAGTTCACTACCGATGTGTGGAGGAAAAGGTACAGAATTTTGTTAAATATCTGTAGAATAGTTCCAATCAATCTAAAACAAAATAAAATTGTATTATTTTGATCTTTTGATACTTATTTGTTTCTCTGTATCTTTATTCAACTATTACGCACAGAGATGGAATAGACTTGCAGAGGAAGTTAGATCAGTTTTATCAGGCTATCCGGATCTGAAATTAACTCAAGGAAGAAAGGTATCAAATCTGGAAGTTCCATACAATCAGGAAGTCTCAGGTTTTGTTTGGTCTGAAGGAATTGAAAGAGAGGAATGAAAAGAAAATGTAGCTGTAAATGATAGAAGAATTGAGTTGAAAGTTTCAATGATTTCTCTATAAAGTTTTCTTTCGTTTTTTTTATAGGAATGATTAAAAAGTGCATTAAATGTGTCATCTATTAATTATATCAAGGTCTATTTGGCAAAATTTTTCATTGTTTATTCTATTAGACTACAATTACAATTCAATTTGGCTATCATTTTTCATAATTTTTTTTTAATTTGCGTTAAGAAGTTGATTTTACAATGACTTAAAAAAGATTTATTTTCTTTACAATAATTTGCAATTAATTTTATAAAAAATTGCAACAATTCTAATTAGACTCTAAAGTCTGTTTGAGACAGTTGCAGTGTTTTATAAAATTGATTATGAAATTATTGTGAAAGAAATAAATAACTTTCTATAAATTTTTTTTTAAAAAATAGTTAAAAAAAAACAAAAAAATTATAATTAAATAAAATTATAATTGTTATTTAAAACTCTCCTAAATTCAAATACTCTATAAATTTGCTTTCCTTAACGCAAATCTTTGGACATTTCTCTTTCAAATGGTCACATCAAAACTAAAAAGCTTCCATATTATAAGTTAGTTTATATGATGCCGTGGCTCAATGTATTCTTTAGAATTTCTTTTTTTTTTTTTAAATCTTTAGACTAAAGTTTTATTTAAAAAAATTAATGACATAATCAAAATTAATAATTTCGTTAGCCTTACCATTAATTATTTTGACGATGTAGGTATTGGAGATTCGGCCTATTATTGAATGGGACAAAGGCAAGGCCCTGGAGTTCTTACTGAACGAGCTTGGTAAGCTTTGCATACGCGTCATCACTTGCTTCTCACTGTGGATTTTCTTGATTAAGAAATTATGCCGTTAATTACCTTATTTAAGTAAGATAAACTGTAATAATTGCATTAATCAAAAGCGACCGCATAATTTAATACAGTTTCTTTCCTTCACTTAGGTTTTGCCGACTGCAATGATATATTTCCCGTCTACATTGGTGACGACCGCACCGACGAAGATGCTTTCAAGGTATAAATTAAAAATAATGTTATTTATTTATTTTTTATTATTTTTGTCCTTACTAAGAGTAGTAATTGAACATATAATTTTTTTTCCATTAATCTTTAATTTTCAACGAGTAATCTTTATTTCAAATGATAGAATTAGATTCCCTTATATTTGAGAAAGAATAAGAATATTTTGTTAAAATGAGAATAATCAAATATTTCGTCAGGATTAAAAAAAATGTATATATATAACATCTAAATAGATATATTTATTTATATATCACATTAGTGTTTAAATCATATTAAAGAATATATGTGACTATTTGTGTTTTGATTTAAATCATATAATAATAATAATAATAATAATAATGATATTTTTAATATAATTTAAATATTTGAGTATTATGTAAATAAATATAAAAAATTTGGATTTTAGATATGAAAATGTATAAGTGTAAATTCTTCTATAAAGATGGATAATAATACTAAAATAAAAGAGAAGGATTATTCTCCGACTAACTTTATATTAAATATAGGTAAGTTGTTCTTTGTGTTTTTTATAGTCATAGAAATTTATCTTAGAGTTTGTTTGGGGAGAAATTATTCTGTGCAGATACCGAGCGGTCAAAAGACCAATCAGAACGAGTCACGTCATTCGGTATATGGTGATACCAAGCACCTGTACCGAACAAAAAAGTAACGTAGCTTGTTCTGGTTGGTCTCCAGATGCCTTCCGGTGTCAACACAGAATAAATTTTCTTGTTTGGGGCGTTAGAGAAAAAAGATTTTTGTACTCAACCTCATGTGATCTTCTTGTTATCTGTTTGTGACAATTTTCTGGTTGTTTTGTATTTTTGATAACAAACATAATTTTATTTGGCTATTCACTATTACTTGATTATCACTTTTTCACTATTTTTCAGAAATTTATATAGTAAAAATCTATTTTTTGCAATCATAATTACAAAGTTATTTTCTCTAGAGCAACATCACAATCAACTTTATAAAAATCTGCAACCGACTCAAATAGATCCTTAAATATTTTTATTAATTAAAAGTAAAAAAAAACCTATTAAATAATATTTAGGGCATGTATATAATTATAAAATAAAATTTCATATAAGAGCCAAAGGTTTTTTTAGCTAAAGTGAAATAATTTCTATCCTCCCAAAAGAAGAAGACCTAAGTAACTACACAATAAGTGTTACGTGACATTAAATTGTTTGTATGATATTAATTTTTTAAGTATGGTAATTAACATGATATTAAGGAATATAATTAAGTTTTTAAATCTGTTTAGTGTTCTCTATTATTGATTTGTTCTCTTGTGAATATTGTATTAGGTGTTGCGGGATCGTGGACAGGGATTTGGAATTCTGGTTTCCAAATTTCCGAAGGAAACTTGTGCCACTTACTCCCTTAAAGAGCCTTCTGAGGCAAGTATTAATTAATTAAATTCCCTTAATTACCTATTTAATTTCTGTATCTTAACCATTATTTTTATTAATTTCATACAGGTTAAGGATTTCTTGAGACGTTTGGTTGAGTGGAAGCGAAATTCTATGAAGTCGTAGATGAGGCTTTAATATGATTAACTTATTGATCATAAAATGACATAACTACATGATTTTAGAGATTTTTCTATGCTAATTGAACTCTCTCTCTCTCTCTCTCTCTCTGTCTCTCTCTCTTCATCCTTTTTTTTGGGTCTGCTGCAATGCTTGACCAAGAGAATTTCATTATTGTATGTTGTGATGAATTTTGGTAATGGAGGGCAGTGGAAGGAGATATTAAAGGAGCAATTGTTTTTGAATGAGTATTTGTTATGTATTCATGATTGGAGTTAATTTCCATTTTAGCTTTTTGTATTTGATTAACTATTTAAATAATTTTGATTTCAACATAACAGTATGCTTTCTATAGTTCTTGAGCCTTATTTTCTAATTAAGGCTTTTAAGATCACATCTATCACATTTTGACATACTGCTTAACATCAAAACAGTGTAAGAGCTTGTGATGAGTTTGAATCAAGGCATAAGAAGATTAAAAAACTATCATGTATTGATGGGACCTTGCATTTGGACTACTTTGTCATCATTGATTTAATTGTCTTATAGAGTTAAATACCCCCATTCTCATTTGACTTCTATCTTATGCTTGTTTCTCCATTCCCTGGGTAAGTGTGTGCAAGGTAAATCCTTGAGCCTAATCACCCCTTGGGGCAGCATCATCCTCATATCCTACATTCAAGATGGTTGTACTTGTCTTATCCCAAATTGGCCTCTCCTTTGGTTTGTCTTTTCTTAGATTTATTCATAGTGTTCCATTTGGAAATTTCACAACCTTCTCATCACCTCATTTAGAGGTAATCACCCTAGCCCAAACCATGTCTCGACTTCAACCCTTGCTTTTTTTGTTTTTTTCATCAAAAACTTCATTTTCACATGATATCTCTATAACTGCTTCTATAAGTATTGCACCCTAATCTCATGGCTTTGGATTTCCCTTCTCTAGCTAATATTATCACACATATTACATAGACAAATCCTCCCAACACTAGTCCACCCTCTTCAACATCCCCTCAAGCAACAATTATTCCCATCTTTGGAGCTAATAATTCCATATCATATTTGCTTGCTACCATGACATTTCCTATTTTGATTACTATAGGTTATGGCCCTCCATTCTCAAATTCTTATGCTTATGCATTTAGTATTGAGATGACATCTAAGTCTCATACTTTTATTGTTAATAAGTAACTTAAGAAAAAAAAAACAAGAATACTATGCAACCATAAGAATTAATCTATCACAAGGATAAGATTGTGGTAATATTTTCAAATAGTGAACCCAACTTCTTAATCGTTTCCTGTTGGTAAATTCCTAAACAGTAGGCCACCATTGCAAGTAATTAATGACTTTCTAAATGACCAATACTTTAGAGGGAGTTCTATGTTCATCTTCTGAACTCCAAAAAGATAATTTTGTGAACTTTGAATATATGGAAAGTTATCAGATGTTTATAAGGAATTAATAATTGGAGAATTTCTGGAGGATTATCATATAGTTCTCTAACCATAATAATCTATTCTTAGAATGCCCAATCATTTATGTTTCGTTAGTTTTTTGTTAACTTAGGATCCATCTATTTGGAAAAACTATGATATTTAAATTAATTTCGTTATTTGATATATATGTATATAGAAATGTAGCTACTATGAATCTAGACCTTCTATTACAAGAGACTTGGTGGAAGAAAAAGAAACCAAGTAATTTTTAAGCCCAATTTAGATTGGTTTAAAGAACTTTGATTTCTATCAAAGCATGATAATTGAGAAGTCCATTCAATTATGTAGTCATTATTATTTAATTAGACAAAAATATTCCCTTCGTAAGCATGCTAAAAGAGTAAAAGTCATATAAGTTGTAATGCCCTTCATTAAATTAACACAATCATATATTGAATTAACAAAGCTGAACTTTTAGTTTAACAGCTTGATTATCTTTCACAAAGCACTTTAAAATTGACTCGCCTTGTTATGCTCTATTTAACCATAGCTAGTAGAAACTTTTTGAAATAATTTGCTTATCTAATTAATTTTCTGAAGTTTTCAATTACAATTTAAGTACTTGATTTTGGATTATTTAGACTTAGATTTGACCACATTTGAAATTGTTGGGTTCGTCTTATCGCAATATTCAATTCTACTATAAGTTTATAGCAATTGGAGTAGAATGATCCTAAATTTAATTTCAAAAGTTTCTTATTCAATAATGTATCGGGATTTGTTCCATTCAATATAATTTTAAATAAGAAAAGAAAATAAGGACAAATAATTTTGTCTTAAAACTCTAAGAAAAGAAAATATGACCTTTTGGATCTGTTTGGACGGTTGCAACTTTTGTAAATATTGTTGTAAAATTAATGTGAGAAAAGTAACATTTTTTTAAGAAGCTGAAAAAAATCAACTTCCTATCATAGAAATTTATTGAAAACAACAACAAAGCAGTAGCAAACAGAAAATGACACAACTCTCCTTAGCCTATTGGTTGAGAGCTTAGGCTTCAAACTAAGAGGTTCAGGGCTCGAGTCTATGTGTATGCGTTGTGTGGGTGAGTTTGCCTTAAATGACCTAAATGTCCCAAAAAAAAAGCAAATAGAAAATGTGCTTGCTTTTAGAAAAATAAAGCAAAGCTATTCCAAATAGATCCTTCATTTTTTACTTTTTTTTTTCTCCATTATTCACTCCCCATTAGCGTGTTAGTTAATTAGCAGGCTTAATTTCAATCCCTATAACTAAATTAATTTCTTATAATATTGAAAGCCTTTGAGTATTTGAAGCCTTCCCTTAGAAGTTTAATTTATGCAAATCAAAGTGTAGCAATTAAAATCCTAATGAACAATGAATGACATCAACAAAAAAAATATTTCATGCTATTCCAACCTACCATACTTGAAACATAATGCAGATAAAAATTGTTTCGAAAAAAAAAAGGATATTTCCTTAGCTCCCGACTCCGCTAGGGTATCCCAAGCTTGGCTGCGCTGGTTAATTTCAGGGGAGCTCCCTTCCATCTCTTTTTATTGCTGGCTTGGTAGTTTTGCGATCTTATTTTGCCGTTTCATCCACCTTCGGCCCACTACGGCCGGAATGGCGGTGAAACACTTGAAAGACGATCCTGATTTTTTTGATTGTTTCATTGAAATCACGTTCTATTTTGGAGGCATTATTTGTTAATACTTCTGATGATTGCTCTCCTACGTTAAAATCGACTACTTTTTTTGTAGTTTGCCCTCTCTTTGGATTTCGAAAGAGGAGATCCTTCATTGACAACTCCCATTAAATTTGCTTTAGTGGATTTTTTCCCTTGTGTCGTCCTTTCTTTGACTTTATCCGTAGGTTCTTCTTCCCTAAAACTGAATGGAGACTTCTCAATTGCATCATTGGATCCATCACATGTTCTTATTAAGTTAGTAAATGATCTAGATTATAGTAGGATTTTCTATCATAGATCATATTTCATTATCAATTGTTATATGAAACTAACTAAATGGTCCCCATTAGTTGTTATTGGTGTTGAATCATTTGTTATCCTGATCTGGATATCCTTTTCAAACTTTAGGTAGCACCTTTTTCTCCCCTCTTATCCTTCATAGTTTGGGAACATTATTTGGGCAGCCTTTAAAGATTGATAATGCGACTTCTTTAGGATCGTGTCCATCTGTGACGTGTGTGTTGTTCGAACTCTACATCACCAAAAAGTACCCTGATAGAGTGTGGATTGGCCCAGAAAAATTTGACTATATTCAGTATGTTGAGATGGAAGTTTTCCTCCATTTCTATGTTCACTATAAATGTATTGGTTATTTGAAAGATGATTGTCACCTATGTCTTTTGTCCTAAAAATATCCTTAATAATGCTAATTCACTTAATATTTCTGATGATAATGCTACTATTGCTAAGGATAATCTAATTAATGTTGCTATTCCTACTCCAACTCTTGCATTGCATGTTAATGATTTTGTGGTGGATGATGTTAATGCTGTGAATGAACTTCTGACTGTAGCACTTTTGGGGGTTACTGGTGATCATCTCAGTTCTGGTGGCGAGGAAAATAGGGTTTCTATTCATTCAGATTTTGTTCTTGTTGTGGGGGATCACCCATCGGCTGTTGTTAGGGTTGATATGTCTATTCAGGCTAATAATTGTGCTTTCCAAGAGGGTGTTAGAGATGTTTTGGAAACTGATAATTGCTTGTTTAACATCATTGCCAGTCTCATTTTGTCTGATGTTGAAAATGAATTTGTTGCTCTTGAGAATTGCAGTGGTAATTCGGTTTCTTTTAAACCTATCGCTTGTAATGTTGTTGTTTTTACTGATGTGCCTGTGGAAAGTGATGAGAATGTTATTATTTATGTGGACTACTTGACCTGTAACTTGAGGGGAATTTGAAAGTGCCATTTGTTGATGTGCCAATTGAGCATATTTCTTCTAATGTTTTGAAGGCTAAATTATCTTCAAATATACTTGAAACTCGTATAGTCCAATTAGATTGGTTGGATAGGTATGGTTCTTCACCTTGTGAGGTTGCTGGTGCTAGTTTGGATGAGCCGTTCGATGAGTTTCATGAGTTATATGGCTTAAATGTGAGTAGTAAAATTCATAAAGGTTTTTCTCATGGTGGAAGCAAACGTCGTAGGAAAAAATTTAAGAAGTATTCGTTCTTCTATTTTTTTGTCTCAATTGGTGTTTGTGGGTTCTTTTGGCTGGTTTGATACTATCTGTGGCTGCTTGGTTTAAGGGTTATGTGTTTGTTGGTTTCTTAGTTGATTTGAATGGCCGTCTCTGCTGTCTAGTGTGTGTTGTGGACTCCTGTTATGTTATGGCTCGGTTTTGCTTTGCATTGCTTTCTCTTATATTTTTTTGTAGGTAGTAGATAGTAGACTGCATAGCTGACGGTGATTTGTTCTGGGATTTATGTTGGTGTTATTTCTTTGGCTGGCTTTTAATTTTGTTTTTGGTATGATTTTCATAATTAGGTTGATTCTAAGGCTCATATGCTTTGTTTCAAATGTTGTATTTTA